GGAACGCTCTACGGTGGTCTACTTCCCCCACACAACGGGTGGGCCGGCACTCCAGAGCAACAACTATCTCAACGCTAATGTCCACTATTTATCTTCCTTTTCGTTAAGCAGATAAAATTTGCATTTTTTTTCTTTGGAGGGGGGGGAGGCACTCTTCTCACCCATTTTTCCTACATACGCGCCACTTTTTGGGCCAAATTATGAGAGCTGCCAGCTACTGTTGAAAGTGAATGAAAGGAACACATCGACCAGGACAAAAAAAAGGTCTTCCCTTTTCATTCGCAAGTATTGACCATAGACCCTGAATATTTCAATTGCTATTAAATTATTCACTTGGAAAAGTGAATAACATAATAATTGTATTTTATGTTATTGTTCTGAATTATGTAGCTGATGAAATATTTGATCATCAACCAGCGTCAACTTCATTTGAGTCTTGCCACCCTAAACCGCCGCGTCACCTCCGTGGACAGTTTCAGTCATTTTAATATCAAGCCATTGTTTCGTTCTGCTTTATGAGCGGGATCTTTGTGTTTTCAATAGTCTGTTCGATTTTATCATCTTTGCCTTGACATTTCATACATTTGATAACCATGGTCTTGACATTTATTTTTTATATTTTTGTCATTTCAGTGTGCTTGTCCTTTCAAGCACTTTGTAATGAGCACCCATGAAAAGTGCTTTTATGAATCAATTTAACTGACATGCTTATTTTCATTGGCTGAGTCACACAGTTTGAAGATGACATTTTTAGTAACTGAGGGTCATTTCGCTTTGAAGCAAATAAAGCATATTCCACCTTATGGACAGTGGGGATTGGCTCATCACCGGGAGTTTAAATTATGGAGGCAACACAGAACAGCAGTGCTAGCGGGAGAATCCAACCATTGTATTCCGATGATGCAAGGCAAGGACTACGCCTGCATCATTCAAAGTGGTTAGGACGTACATTCTTTTGTTGACAGATACAATCCAATGGGTGCTCTTAAAATCGAACATTGTACAAAATGTACCAGACCATCAATTATTTGTGCAAGGGGGAGAGAGGGGTGGGGGGTCATTTTAAGTTTTATTTCCAGCTCGTTTAGAAAGGAACACATTGCTCTTTCTCCGAAAAGGACGACGCCAAAAGATATTGAGGCGACACACCTTGCGCGAAAAATGATTACAAGTCCCCTTGGCAGCTTTTTGTGTTGTTTAAAAGCCCCTCGGTCGACACACCTGGGCTCCTTCCCCAGGGGTAGAATTGCGGCTGCCATTTATCAGTGTGTCCTGAAGGCTAAGGGAACAAACTGGAAGAAATAAAGCTCCTTTATTGCAAGCAGGACAGATTTGACTACACGGTGCAAGTGAGAGATTGATACTGTAAGTGCAAACCGTGCCTCGCCTGGCACGGGAACGCATCTTCAACTTCACACTCCTTTTTTTCCAGGCCATTGTTGTCATGAGCAGAATAATACCATTTCTCAGAGCGGATGTCACGCTGGTCTTTAGACCGCAAAGTGGCTTAGACCGAAGCAACCGTGGGTTTTGCTGCACGCAATCTCGCCACGAGTACGCCAAGACACAATTCTTGACAAATTACAAGTAACACACTAACACCAAGCGTTAACGGAGTAACACTAACTCTTTTCAGAGCGGCGTACATTCAACAGAAGGAGCTTGTCAGAAAGAAATTAAAAGCTTTTCCTTTAAAAGGCCAAAACGGCAACAACGAAAGCAAGTCTGGAGACCAAGCTGCGGTCTGGAGTATCGAATGTATTAGCTTGTCTACGCTGAGCAAGACCTTGCTTCTGTCACTTACACTAACTCTGTCAGTGAAGACCCTTTGATGGTGGATTTGTGGATTAACGCTGACTTTCAGCTCACATGCAACAAGCTTAGCGAGGAAAACCGAGCCATGTGTAGTTTTAATCACACGCATACCAAAGACAAAACACATTTGCATAAAATAGGCCGCAAGGAATCCGCCGAGTCAAACGCACACCGGAATTGGAAACAAAGCATCGCGGGGTCATATGGTGGCCGTCAGAAGCCATCGGGTCATGATACAATAGGACGGGCCCTCCTTGACTGCAACCCGCAAATCTGCCGTTTAAAGATGATCAAGCATATTTATGCTACGTTCGTGCCGACCTCCACAACAGGTCAACCCCTGCAGAAGCATTATTTTGCAGTGGCATGGAAACAGGAACTCACAACATCCGATTAAACAAGTAATGAGAAATTCACATCAGCACTTCATGTCGAGATCCAACTTGGTCTTCTTCTCTTAAAAGTCAATGGTAAGGCTCGTCGTTCTTTTGAAATCCTGAAAGTGTCGTGAAAACAACGGCTTCGCTTGATACTTTCCAATGCTATCGTGGATGGTGAATTGACGACTCAAGATGTGTACGACGCCCAATTTTGAGGTCAATCATACAGCGAAGACATTTTCTGTGTGATTCTAAGGACATGTGCCCATTTCCGAGGAGCCGCATTGCCCTGATGTAATTCATCAGCATTAAGATGTTTATGCTGAGAATGTCATTAACTTTGGAGAACGCAACAATGAATTTGAAGGTGACACTGCACAGCGTAAACACCTCGTGTCGGCCAGGAGACTTTTCCTGCCGGTACGTTTACGATCAGCGTTGCCCCTAATAACGTCACTCAGTAAAGCCTTACTCATTCGTTCTTGCCATTGTGAGTCAAAAATCGAACATGCTGCTGTATGTCATGCAGTCATCTGATTCAAGTTACGAAATGTAGACTGTCTCTCTTCGGGTAGGACAATAGCAGACCGTTGCTGGCTGCACAACTGAGTGTCGTCGATCACCACACCAAATTCAGCCACGGTCTGCCACATGCAGCAATCGGCACCTTATCGTCTCGTGGGAGTGACGTCACATCTGCAGCGCATTGCCGTCTTTCGGAGGAAGTCACAATTTCGCCTTTTCAAGCGGGAACTACAGTCCTATGTTGAGTAAGTGACAGCGAATGATGAACTCTCAGTTTCATTTAAAATGAAGTGGTCATCAATAGAGTGAGCAAGTTCCTTTTTCAAGGTAACTGTGGCAACCTTGTTTAAAGTACAGCATCAAATAGCAAAGTACTTCCTACTCCATTACAAGCTTTCTTGATTCAAACCACACAAAAACAGATTTCTTTCCATTCAGACCTTTGACTAAAAATCTCGGCGGCAATACTGTAAAGCATATCGGCAGCGGTGGGCCTCTTGAAGTTTTACCAGAGGCACCCTGAGAGATGATGCAAGGCCCTGCAAAGCATCTCAAAAAACTCCGGCAGTTCCGCACCGAGCGGTCCGGGAAAATGTTAATGGTGGGCGTTTTAACTGAAAATTTACACATCAGAGAATGTGCCGATTAAAAGTCCGACTCTTTTCCTGTTGCCGTGGCCGACTCATAGTCGACCGCTTGTAAATGACAGCGCCCCGACCAGCGAAATCTTCCAGTGAGTTATTGAAAGTTAGTGAAACAGTCATCCCTAATATGGATGTCAAGCGCCCTTCCGCCAGAGTAAATTGGCTATTCCATCATGGTTTCATTCAAGTAAAAACGTATTTATTGCCTCTGAAGTTTGTTGTCGTGCGTATGCCAATTACTGAAGCGGCGCTCGGCGCCACGATGAATGAGTCCAAGCCGAAACACCAATCACCCAATGCAATTAGTGCGTTTATTTCTCACAGTGCAACTTGGGATCGACAAATGCCTTTTGGTTTTTTGGGGATGTTCTTTCCCTTCTCTGTCTCTGAGAATTTGGATGTTTCTGCTTAAATGAGATCAAAAAACAAACAATGGGGCGCGCACACAGACATACTCGGAATACCGTGGCTGTTGACCTTTACAATGCTGCCTTGAAAGCCTTGCCAGTCACCCCCACCTAGCCTTGCCTATTCTCCTGTTCCGGTAACAGCAAAAAGACCACATCAAGTCATTGGATAGCTTTTAATGACTATTTCAATTATGTCTGCTTGGCAACAGCTGGAGCCCCGGTAATACGCTGTCATCTCCGTCCATTGTGCTTCTCACACTCCTACTGCATCTTTCAATCTTTATGCTTTCCATACATGGCATAGCCTTCCTTGAATAATGGAATGAAAACTATTAATTAGAGCTGCCAGGAATGATGTTTGAAATGCTATAAAGAAAAGGAACCGAGGCAACACTAAATACCAATATACCAAAAACTCACATGTACTTGTGTTGGTGTGGAATATACTTCCAGGGGACCTGGATACGCTAAATGCTGATTTCATATTCTTGCAAAACGGAGCAATAAGCATCCATCAAAAGCAGCGTGAATCGTGATGGTTTGTCGACTGCTTCTCTGAGCTTTTTTTTTTTTTTAACCATGGAAGTCACCCCCACCATCTTCACTAAACGCAGCCTGTGCTCTCTCTGACTAGCATTGTTTTTACTTACTACAAAAATATGAAAAAAAATGAAAGAGTTTTACACATTTGCCACCCCCCATCCCTGAAAAAAAGACATTCAAATCAAGTCAAGTCACATTTATTTCTATAGCCCTTAATCACAAACAGTCTCAAAGGGCTTCACATGCCCACAATACTCCAAAAACGCCATCCGGGGAAAAATAAGAAACCTTGCGAGGGGACCGCAGATAGGAGAATTCCACTTGCGGGATGATCAATGTTACCAATTTACAAGGCAATCTGCAGATGAAAGAGAGTAATAACTCATAATTCAATTCAAGAAGGAACTCAACCATACCATCAAAAACTTGTAAGTACACTGCTGAACGGCTGCAGGTATTCTTTGAAGCGTGTATGAGGGATTTAAAAAAAAAAAACACTGACTTTCTGAATAAGTCTGAGTGAAAAACAACCACTTTTATAGTTATTAACTGCACATTCACATCGACAACTGCTTTTGAGAGCCAGAACGTGGCGTCATTGAGACCAAGAATCGGTCTGTCCAGTTTTCAGTGTCAAAGCGCCACAGAGGCAGACTGTCATGTGTAACAGGAAACGTTGGTACCTGCTCTTTGACAGAGGCCAGGATCGAGGAGGTTGTCTCCGTCTCTGACCGGTCTCCGTTGGAGGCCGACATCACCGGGGGAACCGTGGCTCCCTTCTCCTGCTCGGCGGGCTGCTCTGGCACAGGCATGGCTGAAATATCAAAAATACACATTGGCTGAATGAACAAAAACAACCGGAGCTTTCCTTCTCTTTCTTTACTCTGCATAATGTACGTGTTTAATCCATCGTGTTTAAAGTGAAAGCTAAAGCTCAATGTTTCATTTGGAGAAAAAAATATATATATATATAACGCTAATCAATACAAAGATGTCAGTATTTCAATAACCTCGATTCACAATCCATGCAATAAGAGGTATGTTGGAAGCAGTCGAAGGGGAGGCTTTTCAAATCGTTCACCAGCACCAAATCTCACTCCCTGCAACAATGTCACGTGGCTTGTTCAAAGGAGGTGTGGAAATGATCGCCATTTTAATTACTTTGACGATGAAAAAGGGGAGAAGTGAAGTGCAGAGAAAAATCAATAATCCTGTGAAATCTTGAACATGGGGCACCTTTTTGAAGGTAAAAGCTGAGAAAGTGGTGCCCTTTCATCATCAGGCCTGCATACACGCATGATTTAAGATGCATTGTTTGCCCGCTCCGAATGGGGTCGTCGGCCATGTAAGGCCTGCGCAGGCAGAAATAGTTGACGGGCCAGAGACGCGGACATCTCACAAGGGTGAAATTAAATGTAACCAGACTCATATTTTCTGCACCGTCCTCCTTATGTCTCCTCCATTCAGACAACCGACGCCAGGCTTCAAATGCAAAATTAATACGCGCTTGACATTTGCTCGGCATCTTCAGCCACGTCATTCGAGCGGATTTTGGCACACTGATGAGTCATGGATTGATATTTTCCAGGCCGGAGCCTCATCATTGATTAAACACGGAGGAGACACGGCAAGGTGTGCATGATTGCTCCAAATCCTCCATGTCGTTATAAATCGAGGCTTTGCTCAAACTTTAAGAGAACCAAACGGATAGCGTTAGTTACAAAGCAGAAACAACTGACATTTATACTTCATCTTCTTTAAAAAGCTTCCTTAAAAAAATAATAACAACAATAATAAATAACGAGAAATCGCAAAGAAACCACAGGGAGTGGACGTTGTCAATAGAAGAGAGTAAATAATGAGCCAAGTAAGTGGAGACTCTTTCCTGGGAGACTCATCAGTCCAATTACAAAGTCTAATGTTGACATCTGAGTCAGTGCCAACTTTTGTTAGGTCAACGCTGTGGCCCGTGCACAGCAACGCCAAGTCGAAGCGCTGCAATAATGATCGCTGTCTTACAGTTGCAAGTGTAGTTACTGAAGGCAGAGGCTGAGCAAACAATAGCGTCCTACATTTAGTGCGAATGATTTGTGTCTCAATCTCACAAGATGTTTGGTACGTTATTGCTCAGATAGCACAAGATTAAATTATCCAGGAGAGCGGTAGTCATCATGTGGTACAAGTCCCACAACTGAAGTGAATGGTCGGCTAGCAAAATATTAAAATCTATTTTTTATTTTAACATCAGATTTTTTTCCCCCTTTTACAAAGATTACAAAGATGAACTCATTTTGACTGTTTAACTGGATTCTTGTCCTATCAAAGCTTTGCTAGTGCCAGAACTAAACATGAAAATTGTACAATAGATTTGGATATTTTTTTATGAACACCTAAACCTACTAGGTAACTATTTTTCAGCATTGGTCATGATGGCGGAGAACTTTTTTTTTTTAAGTGATTTTGATATCACACATTTGAAAACAACTTCTCTAAGATGCAATTTCCACATCGTCTGAGAGTCAAGTTCTTTGATTGACAGGCAAAATGAACAACGACTTCCTATTTTTTCCTCATCTTATTTCTGAAATGAACTCTTCTCTCTACGCCAGGGATGGAAAGAGCAGCGTACTGCTCATCATAGCAGAAATCCCCGGATGGACCTCACCTCCCCATAGCTGACATGTTGTTCTTCCGTAAACCAAAATAAGCTGAGACCGAAATGAGCAGCGTCATCCGCTGGCTGCAGCTTAAGACACGATTCATCATCCAAGCATTCTACGCAATCTCCGTAACTCCGATTGAGCAATTAGTTAAACGGGAGAAGAAAAGAAGCCTTTTGTAGCCGGCCTGACAACAGTCGCGCCACGACGATACCATCTCGATCGAGGGCAAGTCATCCATTCACATGAGGAAGGACCGTAAACAAGTCAGACGGTTCGTAAATCAAACCCGGAGTCCATCTTTCAGTTAGTTCGCTAGCCAGCGGACAGAGACAGCAGGCGAGGCAGGGTGGCGTCTGTAAATAAAAGATGCTGCCGAGGCAGCCTGCAGATGGATATTTTCACTCTGGCTGACAAACAGCACTTCTGAGCCTGGCATCTCCACTCTACAAGAGGAAATGAGTCACCACACTTTGAATCCCGAGCAAGCGAGACCCCAGCAAAGACAACATTGGAGCAGAGGAGCGTCCCGGAGCCTCAGCTGTTTATTCGACACCTTCACAAAGGAGTGGGAGTTTTACTGACATTGAGTAACGGCGTTTTTGAGGTGTGGGGCTCATCAGATATCCTCCATTATTGCTCGCCTTTATCAGCGGGACACCCCGACAACAGATGCAATTACATCCTGTGCAAACGGAGCAAATTCCTCCATTTCAACGCCCTGCAAAACTGTTTAGCCATGTTACAATGCACATCGGGATGAAAGGTGATCATCTACGGAAAATCATTGCGCTCCGTGCATTGGCCACGACCGCGTTGAGAAAATTGCAAAGCCGGCGATAATGCCGCTAACGCGTTTCCCCATCAAGTGTCACAATGGTGCGCTCTCTCCCAGAATGCTTTGCACGGCGGTCATTGTCAGCACCTTCTACCGAATACACGAAGCGCTTTCTGTGGAATACAATGCGACAGGGACCCGAGCTCGGAAGGAGACGGATGCACATTTAATTGCACTCTTTGGGATGTTTGCTGCTTCCTGGTAATCTGAACAAGGAACGGCTTTGGTGGGCGGGCGACAGTAATGCCGTGACATTTGAGGGCTCGGGCAAAGTGTCTTTGCTGATTGGAATTTGTTTGCCTGATCATGCAAAAACATAAGAAGGATAAAATACTTTCTTCAAAGCTCGATGCTCGACTGGCAGATGGTTGACTGGTTGCACTCGCCTGGCTTGGGATCTACCAGATCCCAAGTCAGGCGAGTGCATCAATTACCCACGGCGACCAAAAGGGCTCAACAATGCAAAGTATTTAAAGCCTGACAGGGCATCAAAAAGTCTTTTTACTGAGAAGCAACAATCATGTACGGTTTCCTTTCACATGATTTGATTGGATTAATTCCCTCTGTTACTTGTCACAGAGAGAGGAAAAAAAAATAAGACAATTGGCTCCACACTAGTCATCCATATTAACTCAAACAAGCCTCCAGTCTGATCACGTCTTGTGATGGAAAGATTCGTGCCCGTGCTTAAAGGAACATTGCATCTTATATTGATAAAAATCAATCTCCTTATTTCAGAGAAGCGGAATGGTTCTGATTTATTTGTAACTGCGATGCTTCTTAAAGAGGAACGCTTTCACGTCTGCTCTTGGTGTTTGGAACGCACGAAATCAAATTAGGCCTCGATCCGTGAATGACTGCTCAGGGTTTTTCGCACATCACTCGTGTTGAGTGCAGACTTCAACATCGTCAGAAGCTTACACAATAATCACGGCTAACATATGGCTAATAGCACTCATGTCGGCAGAGCGAGGCCGGGATCAAAATGAAGCAACGATCGTTTTCATTTTCACGCCCAATCTTGCCAGCCGATCGCTCCTGGTGCCAAACGCCCTTTTGCTTTTCTAAAATGTTCCCCCGACGAACGGCGCATACCAGCGTCTCCCATGATTGATGGCTCTAATTTACCTCCATGTAATGTCTCATATTAAACTCTGAATAATGCATCATTTGCTCAGATGAAGTGTGTGCACAGCTGTACGCAAACTCTTCCAAAGGCTACAGATTTTTTTTTTTTAAAGACAAACTTCCAAAAACAATTGAAGCTATGACAATGTGTCGGTGGAATCAAATATAACAAAAACACCCGCTCCTTCTAGGCATGACAACCGTGAGCTCTGCTACATTCGAGGCACAATCATTCAGTCGGTGTACACAGAGGATTAAATATATCCTGAAGTCAATCCAGTGCAAAAATAAAGAGCACTTTTTTTTCATGAAATATCTCTAAATCTGATACTTTTACTGTAGCCACATTTTTAAAACAGACCTATTCATTCTTGTCACTCTTTTGCAATACGGTGGGGATGAGGGGGGGTTCTATTTACGAGGGATGTAACCGTAATGCTAACCGTCAAATGTGTTGTACATTTAGTTATGTTCATCTTTAGTTGTGGCACTAGCAAAACTTTGATAGAAAGTAAAAAATGTAGTTAAACAGTCTACACCTTTTGGTTGTAAATAAAATAGGACGAGTCATGTGGGGCTTAAAAAAAAAAAAAGGGGGGCGGGGTACAATAATTCTTGCGGCATTGACAAAAGCATCAATTTGGGGATTCCGCAGCAGTCTGTGCTAGCACGACACCACGGACATAAAACGTAACGGGGCAACCCACACAAGAGATCTACCTGCGCAGATCTTAAAAATGCACACCGGGTCTTACGTTCCCACCGGAGGAGCGATAAGCCTGAGTAAAGCCCAGAAGAAACCCGAGGATGAGACTGCAGGTGGACGTGGCTCACGTCTCCGGCGGCCTTGTTCTCTCATTGCGGAGGCGGCTCACACACGGCTGCGATCTCACGCCTGAGGCCCGCCGCTCTACCGCGGCCTCAAAGGCGGCCAACTTTCACTCGCCCAATCAATAGCTGCGGCTACTGCGGTCCTCCGATACGCTCAACTTTATTACTCTGAAGCCCAGCATTTATCAGAAGTCACCCGCTGCAAAATAGTAATATTCAATCGCACTGCGAAAACGCCTCTATGGTCTGTCATAGCCTGGAGTGTCGACTTGAAGTGCAACACGACGCATTCGCGCGCACGCGGCGCTGCAGTCTGTGAAGCAGGTTGACCTAGTTTGGGGTGTGTATTCGCAGACA